TATATATATATATATATGGAGTTCCTCTTGTACTAATTACTTTATTATATAAAGATGGGGGGGGATGGATAAGACTAATATCTTATATGTATAGAACACTATTAACTATTTTAGTACCATTCGCTAGATACAATTTCCTGATTCCTAAGCAAACGTAACTGAAATTTCTGTAACATTTTGATTGGGAAGCTAAAAATAATTATTTATATTTACTTATATTTCTCTGATAAATCTCATGATAAATCTCACGATTCTAGAATAACTGAACGAAGTTATTAGGTTTAATTGATAAAAGGAGAATAATAATTATACATATTTGTTTGATAGAAAGTATTGAGACTTTACAATCATACAAATCTTTTGTTTATAAGATACCAGTTCTAGAGTTGTATATTCTTATTGATGTAAATTATATTATTGTTTTTTTCTCTTACGACACAGATACCATTGTAATATGTAATCAATTAGAGAATAAATTCAGAATAATATTTTAAAAGATCTATGTGTAAATATGAAACTTGTGTAAACTTTACAAGCATAATTTAAAACATTTTATTTCCTACATTTTATTTTCTGCAAAGCGCACTATAAAAAAAATTTTTAGAAATATATTATGTATATATATAATTTTTCGATCACTAGAGATAAGATATCTATTATAAAAAGATTGTGCATTTCATATTGCTTTGAACATATCGCAAAAATAGTTCTGTAAAATTGTGAAACAACCACGTATTCATTAATATTTGTAAATAACTGTAGAAAATGATTCAAATAGTATTTCACATATATGATGCATATTTTTATATCGCGGGTCTAAATTTTCTTCTGCAATTAGGGCAAAGGGCCTGCAACATAAACAAGTGTAATCGTGAATTTTTGTGAGTGCCTCAAAAAGTTTGTGTCTAGTTAGTACGTTTTCGGATTTTACCTCAGGATCAAATTTTGTCAATTCATTAATGCAATCCTTGTGAAAATTATGTCTACAAGGACGCAATTGTATCACGTCTGAATCAATTAATGCATATTGGCAGATTGAACAATTGTTTATATCATCTTTACTTGTCGCGAGGTCTCTTCTTTCTTTACTTTTCGAAGAATTTGATGAACTTCTTCTATTTAATAATACACTGAAAGTAACAATATTTCTTGTAGAAGCATACAATATATAACATGTTTCTAATAACGTAATATTCTGTTTTTCAAGTAAAAAAAAAGCCTATGTTATAATGTGCTTTGTTTCCTGTTTCTTGTTTTTTACCTTTTGCTTTTTTCTCCTTTGCAACTGTTTTATCAACAATTGTAATTTTTGCTACATATTTCTTGTTTTGAAGTTCGTTAACTTCGGCTAACTCGGACGGTATAAAACAAAAAACCGGATAAGAAGCAAAAAAGCAAGATGTAAAAAATAACAAAAAGCAAGAAACAAGAAACATAAAGCATATGCTTTGTAGAACAGGCTAAAAAGCTACCATGTTTCTTTTACTATGTATAGAGAATTATATATATATTTATATATATATAATTATAATATATACCTATCTATACACCTTATTTAATATTACTGTGCACTATAGCTCAGCGTACATCGAACTGTTCAAGTTTTATGAAGTTCGGAGCTGTGCACGCGCAACTAAATGCGAAATCGGAGATAGGGAATCACTAGTGATATGTTTACGTGCTCGAAATTAGAAATCTACTTGTTACTCGCTAAATCAATTTTGTGTCTCAACGTATGATAATATCCGAATTATTTTCTCTATTTATAACAATTATCAACAATTATCTTTCTATCGCGAATATGTTTCA